GTTACACAAGCTCAGTCAGAATTTTCTAAAGGAATGCAAGAGAAGCAGGAAAGTCTGAAGGCTCCTTCAGAACAGGTTGAAATCAGAAGATGAAAGGTCAGAAGAATGGGTGTTACACTGATACAGAATCTCTAAGTCCAGATTGTCCAGAAGTAAATCCAAGGAACGTACCAGAAAACCAGGAGAATCTCCAGAGCTTACTAAGACAACAGGTAGCCAAGGCCAGAGCATGGTTTACGCTGCTGATTCAACGCTGGTTTCCATTACCAGAATGTTGGTATTGACAAGTCTTGTCACCATTTAATGCCCATTAATGCTTCCAACCACTCCTGAGCATTCACGTGTGACTTGGAAAACGCTTTTGCACAGATTCTGGCATGGGTCTTCACGCCACCGCCCACTTCAGAGGTCGCTTCTCCCCAATCTACGCCTGCTGCTGCAACCTAGGCTGAAAGCTAGTTGTTATCACAACTTCCCAGGAATTTCTGTCAAAGAACAAATTCAAACTCTGTTGGCGCCTTAAATGTTCAAGGCATCCACAAGAACTTTTCCTATAAATAGAGAGGCTTCACCACTGCAAAAGGCGTTCAAGAAAAAACAGAAACATAAACTGCTAAGTGAGAAACAGAACTCCTAGCAACACAGCATTCTGAAACTCTGCCAAAATCTCCAGCTTTGTTTCATAACTTTGAGTTTCTCACCTTCAAACTTCATCAAATATCCAGTTTTTTTTTCTGTAAACCAAAGACACCCTCTCTAAACTTCTGACCCTGCATATACACCTTTACTTCCCCTTTTTCAAAGAAAATCTGTCCAGAACACCACCAGAACCAAAAGCTAAACTTTCACCCACAACTCTCCCAACAGTCAGGTAAGCACCTGCTGACCCTCATCACACTGTTAAGCATCATCAGCTGTGCCTATTCAAATAACATAATGTAAATATCATGTTGTTGTTGTTTATGTTCTGAGGATTTTCATACCTCAGAACGTTCTGAGCCAGTATAGGACTTGCCTGTGACCTTGGTGATTCTGACCTCTGAAACGTTTTTGCTATTTGCTGGATCTGTTCCAAATATGTTTCCTGTTTTGTGGAGTAACAACAGGGTTGCAGATGTTCTGGTTAGTACAGGGAAAATCCAAGTGCTGACTTTGACGTTAGCACATCTGAAGCCTGTTTTGCTGTCAATGATATCAGAACCTCTGAGAGTCATTGCCTTTCAGCAGAATCAGAACTTCTGGTTTCTCCACTAACAAACTTCTGCCTTGCAGCGCAGGGAAATCAGAACTTCTGATTTCCCCACTAACAAGGTTCTGTTTTGCAGGTGCTAGAGTCAGAAGTTCTGACTCATCCAGTTTCACTAACATGTTGATCATCTGGCAGCGGATCTGAGTCAGAACTTCTAATGACCTTCCAGCAGCGCGCGGGCTCCCTCTCTCTCTCTCTCTATATATATATCTTGTTTTTTACTATTTTCTTTTTTGTCTATTTTTCTCGTTGAACCCCCCATGTACAAATGTGTATCCCCCTCCCCTAATTATTGTAATAACGTAGGATTTTACATTTCCGCTTCTTATTGCTAGTAATTAGGACGTGTATGGCAAGATAAAATCAATGAAATAGAAAAACCTAATTCAAAGAAAAAACTCTTGTATGCAATAAAACACACTTGCACACTAACACCCTTAGGGTTACATCCACTTGTTGCCTTTCAAAAAATTGGGCCATATTGCATGTTAGGTCTCTTTGGGCAAAACAAATAACTCAAATGATCATAGTCCCTCGATGACGCTTTTTTTTTTGCCTAAAATGATCAAAGTCCCTTAAAGAAAAATTGCCCAAAGATACTCGGCACCATTGCAACTATGGTCTAAACGACGACCCACGCCCGTCCCTTTAACGTCCTAACACAAGATTGTCCACCAAATACAATGGTGGAACAAAATTGTTAAAAGGGTTAAAACGTAGCAACGATCTTTGAGAAATTTAGGGTAGATAGCTCTTGATTACTTGCCAATTTGCAAAACACTTGCCCATTTTTCAAAAACCACACATCAATACACTTTCAAAACAACTTTCAAAAACAAATGAAAACCTTTTTAAAAGACATACACCTTTGTATACATCCAACATGGATCATTACAAAGGTTGCCACAACATTGGCTTCTTTTCAAAACATTTTCAAAAATCCACACACAAAGCACCATTTCAAACAATTGAAAATCAAGGCAAGTTGATCTAAGCAAGTAACTAAGAGCCCATGAATAACCATGGATAGAAAGGGTGCTAATACCTTCCCTTTCTATAATCTACTCCCCGAACCCAAGAAAACATCTCAAAGGTTTTTTGCTATGCTTTTTAAACCTTTCCTTAGGATAAAATAAAAAGTCGGTGGCGACTCTTGCTCAACCGAAACATTTGCGAATACAAACGCAAAACCTCTAGTCAGTTCTCCCACCGTATCACAATCCCCAAACCCATATCGATGAAGATCTTCATCCAACCTTCATCGGAACCCCACTCTCCTTCCTATCTTCATCTGGGTTTGCAGGAACCCTATGAAGATTCAAACCCTAACCCTAGGGTTCTAGATGAACCATAACATATTTCTTCAACCCTAACCAAATCACCAAACCCTAAGGTGTTTTACCCTAACCCTAAATCAAAACCCAGAAAAACCCCAATTCAAATAAAGTCAACGATTCATCGCAACCAATACAACAATTCAATATCCAAATACCCTAAAAGCTAAGTTCAACGTGTTTACCTCTCTTGCAGTGATTCTCGTAGTAAACTCCTCTTCTGATTTTCTAATTCCCCTTCTCTAATTTCATTCTTATCTTCCTTTTGCTTCAGGTACGATAAAGACAGAGGCGCAACGAAGAGTTCCTCTTCAACTCTTAAATCTCCGATCTGAAGGTCTAAAAATTTGAAGGTGCAACAAGAATTAAAGCAAAGGGTTTTCTCCAATTCTTCTTTTTATTTCCTTTCTTAGGTTTTAGTCTTAGATATTTATAGATTTTTTAGAGTAGATGAATTAGGAAATTATTAAGGTTAGTTTGCAGTTTAAATCAATTAGGAACTTAGATTAATTCAGATTTGTAGATTTGATTTGATTGAGATCTGATTGTAAATAGAAATTAGGATTTGAAAATTTTGTAATGAATCTGGATTGTAACTCATATGTATGCATTGTACTTAATCAAATAAATATTTGATTTGATTTTAAACTGTAATTAGATTTAGGGTCTTCGTATGTATGCATCTGGACTTGTTATTATATAAATTAAAGATTTAATCAATAAATGATTTGATTTGCAATTCCATTTCAGTTTTGATTTGATGCAAAAAAAAAAAGAAATTGAATTTTGAACTTGGGTGTCTTGGGGAAGAAAAAGAAACGTGCAACTTTTAGGAATAAAGGTTAAACCCTAATGTTGACTTTAGTCAACAAATCCCCAATGATAATAATAAAGAAATAATAAAGAAATAACTGAATAATGTTGACTCCGAGTCAACCTTTCACTAATAAAAATAATAGAATAAAATAACAATTAAATAATAAACAATAATAATCAAACAATTATATGAAACGTTGACTCCAGGTCAACCTGCATAAACAAATATTTTTTATACTAAAATAATATTGAATAATAAGATAATAATAATAATGTGATAATAATAATAATAATAATAATAATTAATAATAATAATAATAATAATAAATGTAATATAATAATAACAATAATTATAACAATAACAATAATATTTCAAATGATATTACAAGGCCAGATGTTTGACTTCGGTCAACCCTTCAACCTAATAGACCTAATGGATCTTTTGAATTGAAATACTAAATCCCTTTTCTAAATACTACATCCCTTGTTCTAATTTAACCATATTGCTCCAATAATATATATATATATATATATATATATATATATATATATATATATATATATATATATATATATATATATATATATATATATATATATATATATATATATATATATATATATATATATATATATATAAAGTTAATAACAAGAAATATAATAGCACTAAAATTTAAATTACAAAATAGCCAAGAAAAAGATTGTTTACCAAAGAGGTAAATTTGAGGTATGACACTATCATGAAACAACAAATGGATGAAAGTAATTATGAGATGGTCAATATGTTTACTCAATAGATGAGTCTCATATTAACACCTTTGGTCGAGAACTCGGTGCTTAGTTATCAAACTTTAGCAACTCAAATGACTCACATCAGTGATTTCTTTGGTGCCTCAAGAGCGCCAATTCGACAAGCCGTGTCTCCCCCACGTGAGAAACCAGTGCAGTACGAGGAGGTGGTCGATGAAATAGTGAGACAAGAATCTCTAATTCCCCAACGTGTCAATCCAATTGGTTAAGTTAGCTTGTGTAATGAGTCTATGTGTAAAAGCCTATTAGTTTAGTGTATTAATTTTCTTATAAATAACATACTAGTCTCTCATCATTGCACAATGCAAATCCGAATTAGGGTGATAAAGGTTATTTGTTATTCTACAATACTTACAATTTTGTTTCAAAAAGAATATAATGAATAGCCGTTTATATCCAATTTCATTGTATTATTTTTACTTCTCTCTTTTCTATTCTTGTGAGTATCTTACTGATCAAGAAACTTGTTATACTTTGTTATTATAGTATCATTTTTCAGAGCACTTTTTTAATGTAAAGGTGTTATATAATAAAAATCAAAACCACTTTTTGGAGTATATATATCCAATACATCCTTTAACATTGGTATGAGAAACAACTATAGTATCTTCAGTTGAACATAAATTGTCCATGCACACAAAAAAATTCAAATGGCGAGCCTTTTTAAATTACACAAGAACACTAAAGAAACATGTATGATCTTCCAAAACTCCATTCTTACTTTAAAAAAAACTGCATCCACATAAAAATCAAATTCCAAACGAGTTTGATGCATTTTAAGATGAAAAGTTTCAAACGTGCCCTTTGCTTTTCGTGGAGCTTTGTCTTTGATTAGCCAGAACCTTAGCATGACCCTCCACTACTGCCCCTCTTGCATCTTTCTTTCTCTTTGTTAAGGATATATTGTTCTTCAAATCATTTATACTTCCAATTAGTTCATCATTATCTGAAACCAAAATTCATTAACATTATAATATCTACACAAAAACTAATTTGGTAATGATCATATATAAAAGACCCTATAAATAGGGATGAATGTAGTATTACCAGGACTAGATAAGACGGCGCGTGGACGAATAACACAACTAGGTCTTGTATTTTCTTTTGGAACCTCCCTAACTTGTTTGTTGTTCTTCAACATTCCTATAGAAGTTGTAACATCACCATTCATTGATACATCACTACAAAAAAACTGCCTTATACCTACGGAGGCTTTTTGTTACAGTAATTATTTCCATAGGTATAGGATTCATATCGTTACGGATCTAGTTTGTTATTCTTCTAAATGTTTACGGCTATGTCATCTAATTCTAGAATACTGGTAACATAAAATTTTGACTATAATTGTGTTTTGTACATTGCAGATGATATAAACAGAAAAAAAATTGACATTGAAGTAAATATTAATGGAGACTAAACATCGAAATAATAAAAAATTTCTAAGTAAAAATAAAAATCACTATCAAGATCTATACCAAGAGTCAAAAGCCGTAGGTGTAACTAGATATTTGTATTACTAAAGATCCGTAACTATAGCCTATGGTGATGGATAAAATCCGTAGGTACAACGATTTATATGTTACGAAAAATATTGTCGTAGGTATAGGTCTTTTGGAGCTATACCTACGAGCTTTTGCTGTCACTAAAAGTAAAGTTTCTTGTAATTAGATGTAAAGTTCAACCTTTAAGTGAAGGAGTGAATCTCCTTGTTATTATATGTTGAGGACAAGCCATTGTTTTTTTGCAAATTGATGGTTCACTCTTACTACGATACTCCTCTTCTGCAAAAATTAACAATTTTGTGATTAAATGCAATGAAAAAAAAATGCAAAAGGTGAAAATTATTAGTTGAGAGATCATTTTCTTTTTTATTTTTCAAATGAAAAAAATGTTATGTATAGATTATAGTTATAGTTGTCTTAAATTTTTTTAGACATGTGTACATTAGTTATAGATCAACATTAAAACTAGAGGTTTTATTTAACTATGATTTAGCAGTGAAAAATATATTATTAGACATTATTTAACGATAATTTAATTAATTGTGCTATATGTTATGTTACATATTCTAAAAGACGGCCCTTGATTAAAGTTAAATTAAAATTAAAACTTCGTTCGAGCAAATTACCTTCAAGGTGTAGGGATTCAATGAGCTTCAAGAAAGATAAAATTCCACTATCATATTCATTATAAACATTGTCTTCTTGCTTTGGGACTCTTACTTTAACTCTTGGATACACTTCAAAAAAACAACACAAGTTTATGATTAGTGAGGAAAAAACTTGTAAACACTCTATAATAGTTTGAAAGGAACCATGAAGGAAACTCACTTTAATATGTTGGTTTGAAATTAGAGTTTGAAGGTGGTAAGATGTTGAAAATTGAGAGAGAATATACTTCAAGAGTTGAAACTTACATGACAATCTAGTTATTGGTCCTCTTACTTGAGTAAAAAGGAAGTAATAAAAAGTGTTAATTATGTTTCTTTGCTTAGACATCAATTGTGGCTGAAATTGTTCAGGTTGCATGTGAGTAGGACTGAGTGAGAATCATGTCTCTTGTTAGTATATAAATAAAATTACTAAACTATACCTTTTTTTTTCTCTCATGTATAAACTCATTTAGAAGTTCTTAACATGATTTTTATTTATATTTTGATTAAAAAGTTTATCATAAAAATAAAGGTGTAATTTATTAATTATTTTTTATGTATCAAAGAGAAGGAGAAAGTTGTAGCTAATTTATTTTTTATGAGCACAACACTAGGTTCCTGTGTGCGTCCTTTTGGTGAAGGTTTACATGATAGACACTTTTATGTAGTAAAAATTTTGAATTTGGTATTCAAATTGTGTCTGTCTTATTCGGATGTCTGACTGGCTTGAAACACTTTCCCTTAAATATTTGGAGAGATGCCAGAGTTGTGTTGAGTGAGAGTAAGCAATTTCGAGAACACATGCATTAAATATTTGCCTTGCAATTGAATTGTTTCATAGTATATATCTTTTCCATGTGGTCATAATAATTTATTATAGAGGATCATGTTTTTAGAGTGTTTGAGTTATGGTTGTTAAAATTTCAATCTAGATCTTAAAATTTTAAAATTTTACAATCTCATTCATCCTCAATGACGGATTTTAAGTAGAATCGCGTGTTGTAGTAAAAATTTGAAAAATCTCATAAAATTATTGATTTTGTGCGATCTCTACCATCTTCGGTCAATCATGGCCGTTTTCCGACCACCGCCATTAAAAGGTGAGAAGGATGATAAGATGCAGAGGCACAACAATTATAGTTCGGCGGAGATACATTTGTTCCTTTTGAAATGAAGTTTTACATTCAGGATTTAGAGAATAAATTTCTCACTTGTAGGGTTTGTTTTAACTATTTGACTTATGATAATCCTAATAATTGACCATATATGTCCTAATGTCTAAACATTAATAAATATTCAATAAAACTTCAATAATAAATGTCTAAAGAATATGAAAAAGAGTAATTTTCTCGCGAATGCACTTGTCCACTTACATATATTATGTAAAAATACTTTAAATATATATTTTTAATTTTTCATTTTAGTAGGATCTTACGATTTTTGTTGCGATCTTATGTTTTACGATCTTGTTACCCCCTCCCGGTCTTATAAAAGTAATTGAGTAGGATCTGCCGATCTTAACTACGATTTTATATTTTATGATCCTGTATTCTCTCTTGATCTTAGGTAAGATCTCGATCTTGAAAACCTTGACAACCTTAGGTATGATTTTAAACAAAGGTGAAACCAAAAGACAGAAAAACTAAATGTTTCATTTAAGGAAACAAGAAAACGATGAAAAGATTGGACGCACACATATACATGTTTCTCACGAACTGTTTCGCTCTTTGAATTAGGTACTCCAGTTGTATGGAGAGAATGTATGAAATTTTGCGACCTTTGTTACAAAGTTTGAGTCTTCTATTTATTATATTTACAAATAACCTTCGACGAAGGTTCTAACCACTAAGGGAATGCTACGTTTCACCCCACGTCTAGTCTTCAGGCTCCCACTAGCGTGTCTATGTGTCATCATAATTTAATGTTTATAACCCACGTTGAGTTAAACTGCTTTGAACCTCCCCATGAACTCTTGGTAATATCTGCCATCGTGTTGTAGATATCATCTTCACTAAAAACTTGAACTTGGAGAATTTCCAAGTCTTTAACCTCTTATGGATTTATTAACTGATGCATTCCGCAAGTGTAAGAAATATATCAGAGTAATACAAAAGATTGTCGAACCACAAAGACCAATAATCAATCTACTATTATTTGTTATTGTTATGTAAGTCTAAGGCGATGGTACTTAGTGGGAAGGAATTCAAAACAAGAACTAAAATAAATTTATTTTGATAATTCTCTAATAGCGACACTAGAATGTGGATCACGTCTATATGCAGTACTCACAGCTAAGTTGGATTAATTAACTAAATCAGGATAATATTTTTCTTTAATAGAAAGAAACTTAATTTAAATGAATTATTTGCGTTCGCGAAACAGGAACCGAGCTTTATCCTAAAATATATATTTCCATTGTCGTAGTTCAGTGTGTTAATGTATAAAACTTATGTTTTTGAAAATTAAGTACTTTTAATTAATTAAAAAGTCATTTTGGGTGAAAGAATAAGTCTAAAGGTGTTATCGGTTGTCGCTCGCATAACACCGGAGTTTAAACTTATAAGCGCCCGTTGTCGCGACAGATTTATGCTTTTAAACTCTATTTTTTAAAACAATAATTTTTAAAAATTAAAATAAGTCTTGTTGTCACAATTTAATTTAATTTAAAATCTTATTTTTATTTTCTAATTCAGATAGGGAGTTGAAACTTCTTCAGACTTTGAATTCTCATCTAAGAAACTCCATTGAGGATATGAGACGTCTTCAAACTTGAAGTCTCGGAACGAAGCCCTTTTCTTCAAAAAGATTTATGGGAAATAAAATTCTGCTGAGAAAACAAAACTCCACTGAGGATACAAAAATTTGTCAGGGAGTATTTTGCTGGGGATTCCCGAACCTTTGGTATGCAACCATAAAATAGACCATGAAGATGGTCAAACAGTATCAACTTTACTGGGGAGATGGAAATCTCAGCCAACATCAACTCTACTGAGGATGATAAAGGATTCTCTTGATATTGAAATGCCCGAAGTCACAACTTATACGGGAAGATGAGAATTTCTTAATGCAAACTTCAATGGTAATTCAAATAGGAAGGTAAAATCCACTAGGGAATGGTCTTTATTATGAAATGAGATAATGCTCGTTCAGACTTGGTTGGGGAATGAAAGTATCCAAAAAACCTTATCGGCCCCGAGAATCCCTCACATGACAATGCTGAAGAGAACTAACTATGCAGGGAATTCCCTATTCCAAAGTTCAAAAGTTAGAGATAACGCTCTTGCATTGGTGCTGACAAGCTGCAACTTATAGAGTGGATGATAATTCCTCGAGAGGAGTTCACAGGATCCGTACCATCATTGATATGCTGCACATGGTAGTGGAACTTTAAGAGATCGATCCTCAACTTGAGTTCCCCAGATTGGAAAAATAAAAAAACAATAACCACAGGCCGAATCCTGATAAAACTTGCAAAAATAAATTGTAGATTCCGCTAGAGAAGATCAGATCAAAACTGTAACATCTAGGAAGAAATGCCAAATGGATACTTGACGCTGTTGGAGAGAACATTAACAAAATGGGGTCTATGGGAAATCAAATTTCACCTGACTTGTGTTTGATAACTTGTCAATTTCTCACTTGGGATAAATTCCTGGGGGAGAATACTGCAAAAAATAAATTGCAGTGTAGAAGAAATCCTGACCTATGTTCCACCTCTTAACCTTCTGGGGGAAAAGATCAAATATCTCCTTCCACGGATAAAGAGAACCTTGCTAGGACCTAGAACCTTATGATGTAAGTCCTCAATGAAAGCGATTTTGATTGGGGAAACATGAAAATTCTTAAATAAAAGAATTCTAACCAGACCACCTCGGGGATAATACCGTCGGGGAGTACCAATCTTTACTTGGGGAAAAGGAGGGTATCTTTTAACCATAAGCATGAGGTTCAGAACTCGACTGTGGAAATATTTCAGCCATACTCTATCACTAGGGATAAAGAGCCCTTATACTGCCAAGGATATAAAGATCCATGTTGGGGTAAATGACCTTACAAAGAGAACTCTTGTCAAGAATGAGATATTCTTCGTATATGAAACTCAACAAAACATGTTACTACTGGAAATGCGAGAATCTTCGGCTCCGCTGGGGAATGAGAATATGCTTCAACCAGAATGAAATCCTGCTATGATGCTCTATCCCGGGGCTAACAACCACAATAGTGCACTCTTTTGGGGAAGCAACACTTATCAACATCCAGGATTGAGATCCACTGGGAGAAGAGAGAATATGTGAATAAGTACATTCGATGAAACAACTCTATTAGAGAAATGAGAATTCCTGAATAAGAGATTTCTTGATAACGCAACTTCACAGGGGAGATGAGTATTTTGAATAAGATATTTCCGAAGGCAGCTCCGCTGGGGGAAACGAGAAATTTGGCATAAGAGATCTTAGACAAAGGTCTTCACTAGAGAGATGAAATAAACCTCAACACAAATCAGTTGTGGGAATGAAAATTCCTGAGAACCAGATCTGCAATAAGGCAGCTCGATTAGGGAACGGGAAATCTTGGACAAGAAATCCTCATAAACAGCCTCCTCTAAGGAAGTGAGATGATGCTCCCATGACTTTGCTAGGAAACAGAACAGACTTGAATAGTCTTTACTGGGGATAACATAAGATTCTCAGCATAACAAACTTCAAACCATGCTTCTGATATGGAGATTAGAGAATCCTTGAACAAGAAATCTTTATGAAGTGACTTCGTCGGGGAGCAGGAGAAATTTCTGAAGGAACTCTCGACTTCGGCTGGGGATGAGAATACTCCACTTCAGGGAATAAACATTCTCTTTTTCTAGGTGATGTTGGGGAGACAATACTTCAAGCACTTGGAGAATAAGACTCTCTTAATCTGAAATTCCAATTAGTCGATATTTAACATTGTCCGCTTTGGGGAGATTTACTGGGAAGCAATAGAAACTTCAGATCTCTATAGAAACCCACGTTTGATCTCAAATAGATTTGTTCTTCATGAAGTGACTTCACTGGGGCATAAGAAGATATTCAACCGAATCTTCAGTCAGGGTAAAGATGCTCTGATCCGAGGAATAGATATTCTCTTAAGAACACAAACATGTTAGATTTACCGAGAAAGGGAAATTCCATATCAAAATATTACAACTTTCAGTCAAAATACTTTCTCCTAGCTGATATCAGAAGACAAAGCTTTATGCATCCAGAGAATGAGACTCTTTTAATGCAGAATTCCAATTGGTCAATCTTAAAATATCTCATTTGGGAAGACTTACTTGGGAGAAGTAGAAACTTCAATGTTGCTCGGAGGAAACGACCCAAGTTAGGGACACTTTAATTA